TATATTTTCAGATAACAAACACAATAGCTAAATGCTCTTTCCCAAGTATCAATAGTTTACTTAAGCCCCTTCATTCTAAATGTGTTTCCCCCACTTCAAACTTGGGTGGGTACTCCATTAAAAAAAAAAAAAAAAAAAACCAAAAAACCCAAAGGGGAAAAAAAAAAAAAAAAAAAAAAAAAAAGAAAACCGAGGTAGTTTTAGAACTCCATTCTAAAAAATAGTTTAAAACTAAAGATGTAAAACATGCAAGATAAACTGCCAGTTTGCTATATTTTGAATATTGCTTCCAGATGTGAGAAGCTGTAGTCAAAGAAAGGTGTGCTGTCTAATTTTGTTTTTTTGTTTTTTTTTTAATATCAGATAATGTTTCTGTGAACTAGCCAGAGTTCAAAATCTTTTCCCTTTAATACAGGCATGTTAGTATTTATTGCATCTGCCATGGCAAATCTGGTCTTTTGATTTTTATTATAGCAAGTACTTGTGGCCCTACTGATACAAAATAGGTTTTGCTTCCAATTTTTTTCAAGCCCACATGTGACTCCATAGAAAGTATAAAAACACTAACCATTAGAATAGTAAACTAAAATTATGCAGATATCTCTAAATAATTAATTTCTGTGAAAAGCTCATTAATCTTCCTATTTAAAAAAATAACCTCTTCATAGTTCCTCACAAATAAATACTAATCCATTCCCATTAGTGACAAATGTAGCAATCCCATATTTTTATATATTACATAATGTTACTATTTTGCAGCACTTTTATACTACTTCAAACGCTGAGGATAAATGTGATTTCTTTAATGGTGTGCCCTAAGGAACTTCAGTTAGGAAAGCACCTGCATCATCATCAATAATACCATTCCACTCCAATGCTAAACTCACATCTGGTTTCACATGGAATCTGAATCCTGCTTTACATGGGATTAGGTCCCTTGAATTGTGGAAGAACAGGCTGATGCCATGGGCAGAGCCTGTTCTTTCACTGACAGCAGTGTACCACTAACAAACTGAGCTGCTCTCAGCTACATGTACCCCTCTATCGATCCCTTGAGAGGTCAGACCTACAGGAGCATAGTCATTCTCAGTGTTAAAGCCAAGACAGAGAGCACAAAGTCCAGAAAAAAAATCACCACAACCTCCACAAAAAAACCTGTTAATGCCAGCAGCTCTGAGATCTGACATGCCTGAACACTGTACATTCAATCCATTATTTTAGGCAAGTTGAAACCAGACAAAATAACATGAAGAAAAGTAATACCATTAAATGGGAGAGTAATTTTAAAAGGTTCTGAAACATTTTCAGTAATTTGTACATTTTAAATTACTTTACCTTTTCTTCCAATGCCACTGCTGTTCTGCATCATTTCCCATTCCTCTCCTACAGAGATTTTAATTTAGTAGTCACAGCTGTTTATCTTCATTTATCTTGACTGACAGGTGCTCATAGTGTTATTTAATTGTACCATGTCCTGCTAAAACAACAGTAAGAACACAATCTTCAAGAGAACAAAAAACAAAACAACAAAACAACCCCAAGAGATTCTGAGCACTTAGCAATTAATAAAGAGAAGTACTTTATTCACTGTAGCAGCAGAAGTCCATGCTAATAGGGCTTAAAAGTGAAAAAGGACACGAAGCAGTAGAGCCTAGAAGAGCTTAATGAAAGTGAAACTCATTAGAGTTCCCAAAGAGACCATGAGAAGGTGAAGGACTTGACAGAGAAGGATCTACATAGTTGGGGAAAAAGAAGTTTTTTACTGAACAAAAGGAACACCGATTTTCTGGTAGGAGTAAGTTGATTCTGTGTTAGAGAAAACATCGCCATCAGGGTAGCATGGGATAAAAGGTTAATGTCAATATTTAGCATACTTTCACTGTATCGCTTGTCAGAAAACATTGCCATGTAAAAGCAGTCAAAATGGAAAATATTAGGTGAGCAGGAATATTTCAATCAGGAATCTAAAGCTATAGAAGACAGGTGCAGAGCCAGGAGAGCACAGGCCTCACAGACAAGACCAAGGCAGAGCTGAAGGTATCCAACTAACTAATTACTGCTAAAAACTGTGTGGGGGTAAAGAGAGTTTCTTGCTGACAGAAACTTAACTAATTACTGACTGCTAAAAACTGTGTGGGGGTAAAGAGAGTTTCTTGCTGACAGAAACCATTTTCCAAACCACAGAGGGGCCATGAGCAGGGCAGGGAGCATACCTGAGCCCTTTCTGCAAGAAGCTGAAGGAACCTTAAACCTTTATGTTCAGCACCAGCAAGTCCCTTCAGCCCTTCAAGAGAAGCTGAGGAGGCACCATGGAGGAGCACGTTCTCTCAGTGTGAAACACCTGGGGATACTTCTACAATTTACACCTGGCCGGGATTATTTATTCATTAACTTCACTCTCCTCAGGGCTCCACCAAAACATAAAATTTAAACACGCTGTTACATCTACCAGAACATAAACAGAGACTTTGAGTCTCAGACCTCAGGTGCTTTCCACACGTACATAGGCTGGATTGCTACAGTGACGCACCTGCTTTGGTGGGGTTTCCAAACTCTGGGAAACTTGGAGGTGTCCCAGCCGGGGCACTGTGTCCCACTCCAGCCTGCGTGTCCCAGCCCGGGCACTGTGTCCCTCTCCAGCCTGCCTGTCCCAGCCCGGGCACTGTGTCCCACTCCAGCCTGCCTGTCCCAGCCCGGGCACTGTGTCCCACTCCAGCCTGCCTGTCCCAGCCCGGGCACTGTGTCCCACTCCAGCCTGCGTGTCCCAGCCCGACCCGCGGCCCCCACCACGGCCTTTTCCCAGCGCCCCCTAACCGCGGTGCACAAGCCCTGGCACAGGAGGGGAACCAGCCCCACGCCCACCCCACACACACACAGAGACACCTCCGGGCTCCCCCTCTCTCCCCACGGGCCGGTTCCTACCTGCCAGCCGTGCCGGGGCCGCGGGGAGAACGGGAGAGCCGCGGGCAGGGAGCGACAGCGGCCGCCCGTCGCCCGGCAACGCCGCGGCCGCGGCACCTGGAGCGCCCCGGGCCCGCCCAGCCGTCCGTCCGTCCGTCCAGCCAGCCATCCTTCCTCCCATCGCAGCGGCCCCGCCCGCCGCCCGCGCCGGGAGGAGCCCTGGGAGAGGCCGGAGAGCCTCCCGAGGCAGGAAGGTTCGCGGCTGGGAGTAGCGGAGCTTGCAGTGGGAAGAGCGGCAAGGCAAATGGGGGGAGCAGGGGTGGGCACGGAAATGAGGACAGGGACGGGACGGGAAAGGCAGCAGGACCTGTGTGGGATTTGGGTGACAGGTGATCACACGGCTGAAGGAGGGGTTGGGGATATCTCTGTTCCACACGGCATCCTAAACCTTTGCCGGCCGATGAAAAACTAAGGACATCATCATTCACAAAGGTGATCACACACGCCTGCAGTGCGTGCAAAAAATGCAGCTTGTGGCAGGTAACAAGGCTGGTTTCACCAAATGATTTTGCATTTAAGAAAACCAAACAAAAAACCCAGAACAACCAACTAAAACCCAAACAGATTCAAAGAATAAATTTCCAGACCAGAACTGTCAAAACATTAGACATGTAAGAATGAAGTTTGTAATAATCTGGATCCAACAGATGCGGTTCAACTTTTGTTGGTGACATCATTAAGCTCTTACCATTCTCACTCTCAGAAGATATCTACATTTCCACATCAATACAGGATTCGTAAATCAGGCACCTCGGAAGATGTGATTCCTATCACATCCTCCTAGCTGCTCAGTGTTCCACATGAAAAGCCTGCTGTTTCAGGGGTTTACCTTCAGGATGGTCCCCAGGGTTTTCTAGGGAACAGCCCTTAGCAGTGTTTCTCTCAGAGGCAGGAAGGCAGAGTCCTGCCTGCCATGTAGAAGCAGCTGGGGTTTTGACTGCACTGCTTGCTGCAGCTCACCCCCTCACACCTTTGTGAGGATGTGGGAGAGCAGCAGCTGCTGGTGGATTGCATCAGCATTTCCTCTCTAACTACATTCAATTTACTTTAGGGTTTGGAAAACACTTAGACCATAGGTCAGGAAATGTGTTGACTCCCCTCTTGTAGGGTCTGACGGTCAATTAACATCAGGGAGAATCACCAGGGGCCTGATTTTCCAAGGTGATGAGCACACTCAGCTCCACCTGCTGTCATTGCAATCCAGCTGCCCATCTTCACAGGAAGGAAGGCAATGGGCCTTGACGTGCTCCAGGAAGGTAGTGTGATTCAGTGAAAACAATACTGAATCAAGCATCTGCCCCTGGAATTTTATTCCCAACTCTGCCATTTTTTTTCCCAGGTAACTAGCTCAAATCACCTTGACTCAGTTTTCCAACATGCACCTTCTTGGGACACACTTCCCAAAAGTTATCTGTGGAGAACGTGTATTGTGTATGCACACATCTGCATGGAAATTTTCTTATTTTCCTTATTTTGCTGGAAATAATCTACTTATGGTAAATGCAGTCTGAACTATTTGAAACCAATTGAAGAAATGCATCTTTCCATCACTGAGGAAGAGAAAATTCTGGCACTGTTTCAGGGTAGATACAGAAGCTTTATGTCTCTTTACTCAGAGTTACTGTAATTGTGCTGGCACCATTCCCAGAGCTGAGCTAAGGTCAGTGAGAAATCTGTAAATTAATAACTGTGGAGCTGATGTGATGTATATCCAGGAATCATGTTGTACATTCATGAAGCTTTATAGGAAATAAAAGTAATGTTTCAGTTTATCCAAGAAAGTTTTAGAATCCTAGTATTGACAATTAGCATACCTTGGACCTACCTGGAGACAGTGGACCTGATTCTGATCTCACCTTCAAAGGAGCCCCAAAAAATGTGTAACTCTGGATTAATTCCATTGATGCTACCCAAATGAACAAGAAATGGGTGAAGCCTCTCTGAAAGCCAAGCCTAGATAAACATGCTTTTTCTTTGGAGTCTTATTTTACAAGAAGAGGTTTGTCTGTTCTTCTGGTTTTATTCAGTCACAAGCAACATCCAATCAATCCAGTCTATAATTAATACTATTGATCAATAGATAGTTGCTGTTGCTACTTGCATAATTAACATTTAAGAATTTCATTGTCCTACAACTCAGAAACACAGAACCAGAGGGGACTTTCTGGTCAGAGGAAAGTTTTCTCCTACTGCACATAACCCATGCAATTCATTTAGATGTGTATCAGTATCTCTCCCCTTCTGAAAGATTGTTCAAAGTGTCTCTCTGCGGACAGTTCCCCTTGCAGCCTGATCTCTTACCCTCATTAGTAAGCCCTGTAATCACCTTTTTTTCTTGTGACAATCCCTTTTTTAGCACAATTAACCATTTCATAGAGTCATAGAATAGTTTGAGTTGGAAGGGACTTTTTAAAGGTCATGTGGTTCAAGTAGGATATTAATCTCCATTTTATACAAAAAGACAAAAACCAAAACTAATCTGAGATTAAGTGGAGAACTCATCCTGTGGTACTGCCACCCCCACTCAGACTGCAACTCTTCTAGAAAATGTTCCCATCTTCTTATATTGCATGATAAGCAGAACACTGACAACTTTGGTAATTCTTCTGTTGGTTAAGAACTAGCAGCTACTGTAGCATTTTCAAAAAAAAAAAAAAAAGCTCAGGTCTGCAGAAACAGCTTTGAAGTCTCGACTGTGGCATTAACCTCATGATTTCATGTGATTGAAGTCACTGTGTTCAGGAGATGATGTAAGAACAGTTTCGACCACAGCAGGTGTTTAGAAGTTCATTCTCAGAAGCAATGAATGAGGCTGAGAGACTGATCCAAAGATCCGGAGGATGACAGGAGTCTGCAAATTGAATTTATTTTTCTGTTACTGCACCTGGCATGAAAAGAAAGGGCAATGAGAGAATCCAGTTAATAAAACATCTTCTCTGATTCAATGAATCTGGGCATTTGTTTTTGCTCTTTTCACAGGCTTATGTGAATTCATAAACTGCAATCAGAAAGGAAAGCTTCGTCAGGAAACATTTGGCATTTTATACAAAGCTGTATCTTTTCAAACTGAACTAGACCTGGGAAAACTTTTGATAACAGTTTTTTACAGAGTATTTTAACTCACACTGAAAGATGGGCATTCATAGTTTTATGCTGCCCTTGCTTCTATAAACAAGTGAACCAAACTACTGATGTCACTGAAGTCACACAGAGTGACAGAACCTGTCTCCTCTCCCTGCTGCATGCTCACTCAAGGAAAGTAAACACCCTCCTTGGCTTGGTAAATTTTTGGGCTATTAGAAGGCAATAAACACAGCAAATGGTACCTTGTCATGGTGTAGGGCCTCTTAGGGAAAAGGTGAGCATAAGACAGGCTTCACTTGTGTTGGGATATCTCTTTAGCTTAAACCCTGACTCAGCTCTGCTGGGAGGAGAGAACTCTGGCAGAATCCCACTTTAAAGCAATACCCAGTGCAGATGCCACACCAGAGGGATCTTTCCTTTCTTTGTCCTATTGCTTTAGAAAAGCAGATTCTGGTTCATGACCAAGAGATTCTACTCAGAAGTAGTTGCATTACTGTGCAGTCAAGGTGATTGATTGGGATGAAAACACGAGATAGCAAAGGTGAGACAGGGCAATGTATTAATAGTTGAGCCACTGAGCCAGGACTACCTCATTCCAGAAGGGCTTATTTCCTATTTCTGCCTTAATTATAATGAAAAGTTGTAAATAAATAAATTAGTAAATGTAATATTTTTCTCCCTTTACATTTTTATGGAAAAAAGGAAATAAAAGCTTCTTATATGAAAAAAAATACGAAGATGTAGAAAAGTATGCTTCTACTCCCTTGTTTATATAATTCTGACTCCAGATGAATAAATGGTAACTTGAAATGCCTGTGTATAAATTTTCTTGTGAGATTATTGTTTTGTGCCTCTGTTCAATGCCTTCTACCTTTCTCAGTTTCTTTTGGGTCAAACTATTTCCTGGTTTTGGAAAGCTCAAGGATGCTGTCTGCACACATGTGCTTTTCCAGTGCATGGTATCCTGTCCCATGGTATGGGACAAGTCCAAAGCTTCTCTGCAAACTGCCAGATGGTAATTTCTATCAAAGAATTGGTAGGTATAAACCCTAATGTTGTTACAACTGTAGTACCACTATAGGGCTTCATTCAGTTTAGGTGTATCACTGTGCTTGTTGTGGTAGGAATCCTCTGCAAGAGAAAGTCTTTCTGAAAAGCCTTAAAAATGGCAGGCTTAAAATCAGAATATAAAAGGAAGAGCACTGGCTGCAGGATTAATGCCCCTGGGACACAGAATGTCTCTTCCTGGTGATATTTATAATCCACACCTGGACCACATTGTTGGTGGTCCTTGCATTTCTTCTGGGATGAATTCCATGGTCAATGATTGAGTTACAACTTTGTTTTCAACATTAAACTAAGGGGGAAATGAATTGATGTTGGAAAGGAGTTACGGTCAGTGACTCTTTCTCCACAGTTTTTCAGGAGCAACATTTGTTCTTTTTCATTGCTTGCTGCAGTGTAAAGGAACCTATGGCCTCACTGCACTTTTTAGGTTTGTTTTTCCAAGCAGGATTTAGCTGTGAAATTCATCTAGCTGTCTTCAGACAGGGGAAACAGCAGCTTTCCAATGTGTACTTGCTTTTTGTGCCAATGAAAAGCCACCATAAAATGTTACCGAATCAGAAAGGGGTTACTATTTTCACTTCCCATCAGTGTGACAACATATAATGTGAAGGAGTGGAGAAATTGGGGCTTTAAAAAAATTTAATCAGGTCAAAGCACCAGTTTGCATGCCATTACACTACTAGTTTGCATGCACTTTGCACAGTTCAAAGCTTACTCTGAATGCAACTCATGTACACCGGGGCTTTCAGCCATCACAGCAACAGCACCACTGCGAGCCACGCTACAGACAACAGCTCTGGCAAAAGTCCTCAACAAATCCCTGTCCTGCAGAGCAGGAAATAAGGTGGCTGGAGTGCAGTCTGCAGATGAGGAGGGAGGAGATCAGCAGGTAGATAAATGGGGGCCAGGCAGTTCTGCAGACTGGAACAAACACTGTATTCCCTGTGCATCCCTGTGCTTGCCCATGTAATCCTAGGGCCAGCACCTGTAGCCTGAAGACACTGTCCTGGAGCCTAAAGGCTCCCTGTCCTAACAGTCTAAGACCAAAGTCCTCCTTTTGCCTTAAGCACCCTGCCCATCCCCAGGGTTGTTTCAGCTCCACAGTCTAGGAGGCAATTTGTGCTTCCTTCTGGCTCAGCATCAGTGAATGAACTGAGCAAAGGCAAAAATGATCCTCTCTGCTCTGTCAAAGGAACCTTTGACCCTACACATCTGCTTCTGCTGCAGGCAGCCTGGAGTCAAGTTCAGCAAATACTACACAGGAAGGAAAAGTGATGCAACACATCACTATACCATACAGACATTTTCACTAGAATTTAAGCAGCTCAGGTTGCCTCTTCCATGAATAGCCTCTTTGGAAAGCCTTGGGATTCATCTACATTTGGGTCATTGCCATGTATAACTTCCTCTACACTACTAGAAGGAATCCCATCCTCATGGAGAATGAAGAATGTTTCCCTGTCCCCAAAATGACAGGAGAGACCTGATTTCCAGGCACTCCCTTTACAGCCTTGGCTCTGATTCTACATAATGTGTGCTTGGAAAAAGGACTGAGTACTTACATTCCAGCAGCTAAGTTAGATTAGTGATGAGAAAAGATGTATTATTGGTATGCTTCTGTATGTTTTATGCACTGTCTAAAAGTTTCAGTAAAGATTCAGCTTCATTACCTAACTCAGCATGCTGGCTGAGACCCAGACAGATGTTCAGGTAGTGTTTCCAAGTACTGAAAACCGTAAGACACATCCCAGTCCACAGAAATCTCACACCTACCTCAAAAGCCTTGCTTAACAGCCTTTTCAAGGCTGGATCTGTCAGCAGCCCCACTGTCTGGTGACAGTACATGGCAGTGAACATGGCATATTGTCTGCCACAGGGGACTCCAGTCATGTAGGCCAGCTCTTTGGCTATGAAAACCTGCACTTTATCACTGCTCTTTGGCCTGAATTCCTGCCCTTTTGGCTAAGCACTCCATCCTCTTTTCTTGAAACACCTTAGAGGAGACCCTGGGTTAACCCTTATATTGGGTGAACAGAAACTCCTAGTGCCTGAGCTGGGTGATGGGCATATGCCTGAGTATTTCCTTTCAGAAGAAGACAGAAATTCAGAACAGGAATCCTCCCATGTCCACAAACTACTGTTATGTGTAGGAGCCATGAAGCTCCTATAGTACTGTGACTCACCTTCATTCACTTCCTTCACAGTCTGAGCAAAGACCTTTCATTCCTAGACTTTCCCACTGTTAGAAACAGAGATGAACTTTTGACAAAGTGAAAAGTATCCCCCAACAACTCCTGACACATCACCACTGGCAGAACCTATCTTCCTTGGAATACACACAAGCTTCCCCTGTCTTGCCCTACAATGGTCACTCCCTATGCCATGCTGTGGGTGTACTAACACAGACCATTCCAAGTAACCTTGTGTACCAACCACTGGCAGCTGGCTAATATCCAAGTTATCACTTGATTTCCCCTGCATTGCAGATCAAGTTTCAAGTTGAGCTGCTGTTAAAAATACATTTCCTTCTCATTCTCCTTAAAAGCCAGTGGAAGCACAAGAGTCTAGGACACAACTATATATTCATTGTTTACTGGTTAACTCCTGGCTTTTGGAAGCAGAATTTCCAGGCGTAGATCACAGTTTCCTCTTCTAGAGAATTGGGCAGCTGGACATATGCCTGCAGCTGTTTGCACAGGTCACTTTCTTCTTTGAGATACTCACTTCACAACACATGAACAACACACACAGCCCCTGGCAACCTGGAGAGTGAAATACAGAGACCTGGAGGGTGTGGGGGTGAAAGGGAGGGAAATAAATAACCCCACCATGGGTGTGACCTCAAATCTATTGAAGTTAAAGGAAGTGATTTCAACATGCACCATCTACTCTGCAAAGAGGTGCCAAACTAATTCTAAGCTATTGGCTTTCCAAAACCTCCACAAAGGCCATGTTTATAAATTGCTGTTGTGTTGATGACAACCATTGTGATAACTCCTGGTCAGTAATCATTAAATAAGATCCTTGTTCCAGCCGTGTGCTTGGCTGCAGCAAGAGCTGTATGTAGGTAGCAGGGACTAGGGATAATAACAAACCTCTGTCTGGATAGAGAGAAAAAGGAGAGACAACAAATAAAGGAATTAGCCTGAGGAATATTTCAACCATGGTTCCGTAAATATCACAGGTAAGGAAAGACCTTAGAGTAGGAATTGTCTGCAATTCAGACATAGCGATATCTGAGTACTTTTCATCCAACAAATTTGTAACACTGTTTATGATGGAACTTTATATCATTTTTCCTGATGCAGCAGGAAATGTTGCTTAAACCCAACATTTTAAAATACCTCTGCCATGTGGGGATGAGCAGGTGACTCAGGACAAACATGCAGACCTCATCTTGGCCCTTGGATAGGTGCTGTCATATCACAGTACATTTGTGAAATCAACAGCCACAATATGCTTCTGGATAAAAGCATGCCAGCCAGAGGGCAGATCTGCTTGCTCAGTCAGTGCACCTGGCATTACAGCCTGTGCTGCAATCCACACCATCTACAGGTACCAACCATCCATGAAGGGAGCAGCTCAAGGAGCTGGGACATCCCTCAGGATGGGACGTGCTGCTTGCTGCTGTACCAAAGCCAGCTGAATGACGTCTCAGAACAAGGTGCAATTTTTGTGTCAACAGTGGAATCATTAATACATGTGTCTGCAGGCTTCAGACCAAATCCCTCTCTTGGAACAATGCAAAGGGAGTTAAAGGGGTATTTTTTGTTGAACCTAAGGCTGAGCTCCCCTGCTCCAGACTGCAGCACACAGACAGTGGGGAGTGCATGCGGACAGACAGGACTTTGCTCTTTAAACCAGGCTGGCTCCTTGCCCAAGCCTCAAATGCAGCCTGTGAGGATTTGAGTCCAGACAATTTGATGGATACTGTGTGGGTGCTGGAGGCAAGAGAAGCCAAGAAAATGAAATATCTCTCTGTCAGTCGCTCAGTTTCCTGAGATATTTAATACAAATCCTTCACTTCTGTAAATATACTCTGCATACTGCTATAGGTAAGGTGTGGTTCTAAGTGTGCTACTATGAGAAAAGCATGCAATACATAAACCAAAACTGAGAGTGTTTCATATACAGGCATCATTCCTTACAAGTGGCAATATCACCCACGTGGTAAATTAATTTATTTCTGCAAACGGGTCATAAATTATATGTCTGCACAGTAATCCCTATTTATCTCGTTCTTTGACCTCCTCTGCAATATGCCTATTGAGTGTTTTCTACCTGCACTGCTTTTAACTTTATCCAGTGCCTTAAGCCTTCTGAATGCTGATCACTGATTGCCAAAAACTGCAGTGATTAAACTGAAGCCTGAACCATCCCCATTACTAAAAACTCACCACTTGCCTTTTCTGAAATCCTATTTCACCAGCATTCCTCTTCTCTTCCCCCTTGTCTGGGTCTGAATGAAAAAAATATGCGGGACCATTTCCCAGGGTTAATTTTTAATAGTATCCTCACTGCTGCAGCAGCAGAAGTCATTTATTATCCAGCAGGCAGCATGCTAACATGCTAGGCAGTGGCAAATACTGAAGGAGGTGACTCAGGCATAAGCAATCAGGCAGAGTTGTGCTTTCCCACCTGCTGGATGGCTCAGCACACAGAGCCCAGCATGGCATTTTAGTTCACCCTACACGTGCATCTTCGTCCAAGGGACACCTGGATTCCAGCCAGGCAGCCAGTGAGGTTTATGTGCTTCACAGCCATGTGCAAAGCACGTACATAAACAGAGGCCAGCCCTCCCTTCACCTGGGCACTCTTTTCCTCTAAGAAAAGTGGTTATCCTTGCTGCAGGAATGTGTCAGACCAGGCAGTTTGGCCCTAAATAACACTTTGTGATCTCAGGCAGACTGGAGCTCAGCCTACCCACCTGTAAAACAGGTTTAATGGTAGTTGGCTTTTTTAATAGAAAAGCTGGGAGGATTACTTCATGTCTGAGATCTCTAGATGAGAATTGCTTAGTGGCAGAGAGCAGTTTAAAAGAACAGCTCAAAATTAGGGCCAGAGCAGGCTAGCAGCCCAGTGAGCAGGTAGAAGTGACTATAGAAGCTGCACTGTTCTTGTCTCATTACCCAAGAGCCTCAGAAAGTCTGGGGATGCAGATGATTCACAAACCAGAAAGTGCTTTTGAATTACTTATTAAGTAGGATTCATGTATGTTCTGGGATGCACAAGGTTGGGCTGCAGAATCCCTTTTGCCATCTCCTCAGAGTGAAATGTGGTGGCAATGTAGGGTTCACTCACCCATGTATCTATCACAGTTTTATTTTTGCCTCCACAGAATAGACCAAAGGCCACTGAAAAAGTACATTAATCTTCCCTGTATCTGCAGTAAGCTTTGGATGAGACCTCAGTAAGCCAACAAGAACATGCAGCTAAACGTGCTACAACAAGTTCACTGGCATGTGCTGATCTGCAGGAGAGCCAGTCTGAGTGTGCTCCTGAAAACCAGGAAGATCTTGACTAAGAAGCTTCCTGCTTAGTCCTCACTGGAGCACACCAGAGCTGCTTAAAAGGGGAAATGGAGCAGCTCTGAACCCATTCCCTCCCCTATGCACTGTCCCAGAGAAGCCAGAGGGAGGGTACTGCAGAATTTTACTCTAAATTCTCTTTGTGATCACGCAAGTCCCCCAAATCCCACTGCCAGTAAGCTCCAAGGATTAAACAGCTCACTGAAGGGAAAGTACAGCTAACACCTTCTACCCCTATCAAAGCATATTGCTAATGAGAACTGGGAAATCACTCAGTGTTAATACAACATCTGGAGATTAACACAAGCTATGATAGTCAATGGCTGAAATTCTATCAATCACTTGGATTCATGTAACATTTGTGATCAGTGTTTTCGTACATTAACCTCAGTATTTCCCCAACTGAAGTCTGCTGACTGAAAGTGGGAAAGACAAAGTCATGAATCTAAAATCAGAGAAGAAATTTGCAATGTGTTGCTTTGGTCATTTCAGATTAGGAATCTTGCAGGAGGTCTGACTTCTGAAATGTTTAGCATTGGCCCCGTGAAAGCACTCAGAGAGTATCTGAGTGATTTGCACACACACACAGAGAGAGAGAGAGAGAGAGTCACCCCACCACTGAGCTCATAAACATCTGCCTGAAAACTTACCTAGAAATATGCAATGGACTTGCACCAGTCCTGCAAGATGCAAGTGACTGCAGGTCCTCTTCTGCTTTTCACCTTTCCTGATGGAGAAGCAGAAGAGGAAAGGGGATGACCAAACTGAAGACAAAAACCCCAAGATGCTGTGGTCAACTTTATGGCTTCAGTGTAGGAAAATTCTGTAATAAGGAAAGGGGTAACTGCCAGCAAGAAGAGAATCTGTGTGAAATAGGTGTAGAAATACCCTGGAGAGATCAACTATGTCATGTCTGACTGAAGTCATGATTTTTAACCCTGTGCTGCTCTTGAAGGCATTTGTGTGGGAGGACTATGCCCTTACCTTTACTAGGAATCTCTCCTTGGATATCTCCAAGGATAGCCTAGACAGGATAGTGACACAGGAGCAGAGCCTCACTGCCAAGGAAACCTTTCAATATCTAGCCTGGACCTCACTTGATGTGGGAATACTGCTACCACCATAAGCTCCCAGGCAGCTCTGTAACTCAGGATCTTTAGCTCTGACAACGAGCAGCTGCACTGCAGGACAGTGTCTACCTCTGCTATAAATAATGTCAAGGCTGAGGTCACCTATGGACTTGGTTACTGCAGCAGTGTGTATTTGAGGTAATCGCAGAGAGGGATGGGGGGGAGCTGGAAACACTGCACAAGGGCATCAGGAAGAGGCTGCCACAGAGGAAAAGAGCTGTCCATAGTGGAAAGGGACCAGATCAGCAAGCTTTACTAAGGTTGGGTAGGACTAGAGCGTACACTGGTGTGTTAAGGGCACTAAGAAGCAGAGAGATACTGGGAAGGCTGGATTCTATCCTCCTCTCCAGTCTGATTTTATTGTATTTTATTGTATTTCTGCTTCACATCAGCTTTACTTGCTTGCATAGATAGGAACCAAGGCTCAGGGCATCTCCTTAAAGTAGAAGGAAAACCAGAATTTAGTGAGGGGCTTAACAGAAGAGAAGAAAAGGCTCAGCAGCTTGAGCATGATGATGAGAAGGAGGGCTGCATGGTAGGGTTAGAGACAGTGTGTGGCCAGTATATTAAAGAACAGTCAAAGGAAAATGAACCAGTAGTTTAACTGGATAAACACAAATGTCTTTAATTCTATTTAGTTCTACCATGTGTGCATGCCTGAATCATGCTGTGCAACACTGCTTTGAAATTTCTGCAAGAAAGAGATGTAGTTAGCAATTGCTCTTTGATGCTGAGGGGAAGAAAATCAGCATTAGCTGATGAAGAAGAAGACTATTTAAAAAAGAATACCAATAATCTTAGTGTCTTCTCCAGGAGAACATGTGCAATGGTCTGAGATTTCAGTACAAACTCATGTGGTAGAGAGAGGCCTTGAACTACACAGATAAATCTGTTGCACATCAGTGAATGCAGAAATTATATAGAGCACAAGACATCCCTTAGCAACTCATCCCGCTTCCACTGGAAATCTGGCAACTGACAGCAAAAGTGACAGATGACCCAGAGCATGGTAAATGATCCAAACTATCCCTAAAAAAAAACCAACTGGTAGCATATCAGTTGCAAAGGGTTCCAACTTTGCTGTAGAGTTTGAAAAAGAAAATCACACGGGGACTAAATATCACAAGGGCTTCTTAACAAAAAATAAGGCTTCCAGCTTCCAGACCTGAGTTATTGCTGTATGAAGACGAAGGCAAAAGCCCTCTCTCAGAGTGCAGTGATCTGAGGATCAAGCTTCCAAGGGAATGATTGACATTCCATTCAGGCTGACAGCTAACAAAAGCTCCTGTACATATGCCAGCAAGCCACTGCCAGGAAAATCAGTGTTGCTCCCAACTTGCAGCTTTCTGTATTACCAGGCCTCCTACCGTAGCTGACCCTGGCTGATCTATGCTGGCAGGGACAGCAGAGAGTAGAAGGAGACACGGGACCTCACCCTCCCTGGCAACTTTGGGTGAGGTAGGGGCATTTCTTGAAAGAATCAGTGTCATTTCTAAGCATCTCAGGCTCCAGATTCACCACATGATCAGCTACAACTCCCTGGAAAAAAAACCACAAATAGCCAAAAAGGACATTTGCTGGGGGCTTAAGCAAACACCCACAGGAACAAACAGGACACTGCAGAGGGCAGTGTGCTTCAGATCAGACTGAAACTAGCAGGCATCTGTAGAAAGTCACACTGCTTGTAAATACCCAGAGATCAAACCTTTATCTCATCTCTCCCCCCTGCTCACTCCACACAGCAAAATCTGAAGTCCAACCATGCCATTATCCACTCAGGGGAGGGCCTCATGTTACCAAGTATTGCACATCACATCTAGGGAGATGTGATAGCTGTTCATTCCCACAGCGTCTCTACAAGGAGGCTGACTGGGAAATGACCAGTCTCTGAATTATGTCTTGTGTGTGTGTTTGGGTTGTGGGGTTTTTAATAGCAAAAAAAGGAATCAGCAGCTGTCTGTATTTTTAAACTATGGAACACAAATCTCCTTCTACTTCCAAGCTCTGATTACAAAGTCTTTCATTTCTGTGATTCCAGAGCATCATCTCTGCAAGTTTCTATTCTCAGTTAAAAACTGACCAAATCCAACTGTTAGCAAAATTTATTTCAGTCAACAGGAATCTTTTCTCTCTCTAGTTTTTGTGGGACTTGGGCCAGGCACTTGGCAAGATGCTGCCTTGCTTATTTCAAAAAGGAAATCATCATAAGAAAGATCTTGTCCTGGATCAGATAATTCTCCAGAAGTGACAACTTTGCTCTTCTCAATGAGAATCTTCTGCAGCATTTCAAATGGTTTGGTTGAAAGAAGCCTGAGCATATTTATTTAGTAGAATATAAATCCAGTATTAATGCCATTATTTTGGGGACTATAAACAAAGTGGTCCCATTCACTGCTTGAGTCATCTGAAACAGTGCCATGTCTTTTGAGACTATATAAAGGAAGATTTTGTTGATTTATTGAGGATTGATTAATTAATTCAGTGTTTTCTTTTGTTAATTGATTATTCCAGGAGATCTTTCCAATTCAGTGTCAGTCTTAAAATACTTTGCAGCTGAACTGCTGCTTCCAAGACTTAGGTATCTCCAAGATTCCCAGGCCCTTGAGATGACAGTACACATTTGTGGCATTTAACACTTGTGATGTCTCTTGTGGCTCTCTCTTGGTACAACCTGCAGTAAGGATAAGCCACTGACTTTTCCCAGTCTCTAGGAGACTGAGCTAAATTATAGTGTTGAACAGTTTTAGCTTGGTTCCTTTGAGATGGCTTTCATTTATCTCAAGGTTTCTTTGTGTTGCAGGAGACTCAGATTTTTCCCAAGTCTTTTTATAGTCAGTCACTCAGAGTACAAGTGTTCATTGTCAAGAGTGAACTCTAGCTTTGCATCTCACATGGATTTATCTGATACATTAAGAGTTTATTTTCAAAGGCTTCTTTCCAAGTCATGCTATTGTCAGGGTTTGTTATCTAGCAGCATTTTCTCTACAGCCTCACCAGGAAGCTAGAAGACAATTGTCCATGAGTCACGAGAATTTTACCTGTGAATTCAGCTAGGCCCCAGGCAGCTCAGAAAGCTGGCCACTGTTTCTTAAGCATCAGTACTAGTGCATGAACAGCATAAATTTTAACCGGGAGAGAGTGTTTTCTAAATAGAAGGGGGAGCATATACTTCAGTCCATCACACAGTTGGAGTTGTGTTACTTGTGGCTCAAATCAGCAGTCAAGGGATTAAGAAACATTCAGCTTTTCCTTCACTTTTCAAATCTGTCCCACAGAAGACATCCTTTCCATCTCCAGAGTAAAGCATACCCTAGATCCACTGCAGATCTACAAATGAGCCTATCCTCAGCACAGGGTAGTTCTGCTGGCCTCTGTGCACAAACAACAGTTTTCAAAACTGTCCTCCTCTGAACTAATAAACTCAGCTTTTATTTCCTCCCAAAGTGGAGGAAATAAAACTATGATGGTTTCCCCTCTCTGCCCTCAGCTGATTCCCTTTTCCATTTCTAAATTCACTCACTAACCCAAGCAATCTGGGTTATGTCCTTCCCAGAAGCATCTTCCATTGCCCTTCCCAGGCAATGAGACTGTCCTTCCCAGAAGCATCCTTGTAAAGGGATGGGTTTGAAGACAGACCTTGCAAGCCTATTCCATCCTTTGTCCCAAGTAAATCCAAAATACTTACAGATCTGCAGACTTCACTTAAAAAAGAATAAAGGAGGACAGTAAAATAATGGAGACTGTCAGAGAATGCAAGCCAAATTAATTTCAGAATTGGTTCATCCCTTACTGGCATCTTCAGAGTTGCATCAGCTTGCTGAGGAAATGAATTTGTCTTTGTGTTTCTGAGAATCCAGCCTTGTTTCAATTCTTCTGAACACTTCCTTCTTTCCTTCTGACTGCACTTCAGCTTTGATCCAAGTATCAGATAGGCCCACAAGGCAGATGACTTGCACTGAATCGAACACAAAGTTCTACTGACAGGTTCTGCTACCTAGATGATGCATGACACACAAGTGAACAAAACTGATAAGGTCTCAGCTTCTTTCCCTGTTAGAGTAACAAAGCACCTTGTAATGATTTTTTTTTTCTGTTCCATAAGCTGGTTGCCATGGCAAGTTACTTGTGTTACTCTGTCAGATACTACAAGGAAACAATTTGCATTCCCTAGAAAGATAGAAATTTTTAAAAGTCAATTACTTATCAGTTTGCTTTCTGCCATGACACTATTCATCCTCTGAGCTCGGGGAGAGATGAGCAAGAAAACATCCCAGTATGAGAAAAGAACTTGCAGGTTTCTTGAGTCTAGCATATCTTCAGGAGGATTAAATTAAAAAATCATGAGGAATATGGTGCAATGGGGAAGCAAAACTCACAGAGATCTCTGCTTTTCTAGTATGCTCTCAGAGACATTGTCAGAGGGAGCACAGTGGCAGAGCCTTCCTTGCAAACACTTTCCAATAAAGTTTCAGTTACACAGAAAAAGTGTGCATCCAGGAAAACAGACTAGGGTGATCTCAAAAGCCATGGAAAGAACCAGAAAGCAATATGCATGATTAAAAGCCAGGTGAACTAGTAGATATGGTGACAACAGGAGACCCAGAACAAGAATAGCCACTGACACCACTAATCTACTCTCTGTGTCTGCTAAGCCTAATAAACCCTCCAGTATATCAGAAATATATGGTGGATATCTGGATGCATTTAAGTATGTATCCTTGTGAAACTAAAAAATTACTGTTACCTACTTTGCTGATGATTTTGATGATCACATGAAGATCTGTAGCTGGTGAGGAAGTTCAGTTGCTCACTAAGCTCCTGGTATGTCTGTATGTCATGCAGTGGACAGCTAAGTTTTTGTCTTGTCTACAATTCCTCTCTTACAGAAGTTAAAGAGGGGGTGAAAATATCAAGGAGTTAATTTTGGGTCACGGCACCTACAAAAATCAGTAATGTACCTTTACAGACTGAATTTAGAGTGTTGATACAAAAAGCCATGACAGGATAAGCATGTCGATGAGTTATGGCCTTCCAACTGCAAGCTGCATAGAGTTTGGTGAAAACAATCATGAAAAATTGAAGGTATGGGAATTGAAAGTATTTGAACTCCACTGCACATTTTGTTTTTGGAGTTTTACTGTGGCAGTAAAGGACCTAAGATACTCTCACTTTCCTTTTCATTGCCCTGCATGCCAACGAACCCAGCACTTGGTTAGGCTTCCTTTCCTATCAAGCAAGTTAGAGTTAGAGCCCAGCAAACCAGACATTTTCCAATAATTAAACTCAAATTTAGAGAAAGGAAGGAATAATCTGCTCAGGAAGAACAATTTTTTACAAATAGAATGGGCTATGACATCAAAAAATGTAAATCTATGCTCTGACAAAAGCAATGGAGTTACTTTGCTTTGCCACAGCTGAGGATCTAGTCACAGTATTTTGCTTTTTTATCAAAAAGTAAAAGGGGAAAGAAGACACTTTTAAGCTAATATCACTCCCTGTGTCTTTGCAAGTCTGTGCCATCACCCCTCTGCGATTGTGTGGTTATGACTCACCAATAGGTGATTCCGTCTCTGTCTTCCAGCAGTCTGCAAACAAATAGTCCTCAGGTATCTTAGAGCCTGATGTGATCTGGCACTGAAGAATGAGCAAGAGAGAGGCAGTTTCAGTCTCCTCTTCTGGTGTTTCTTGGCTCTTGTAGATCACTGAGAAGCCCAGGAAGCATGAAACTGAGGTTCCCCCATAGCTGTGTCTATTTTACTACCTATGTGGTGCTTGCTTCCTGACAAGTCCTTCTGGGCCACCAAGGTACAGAACAACACAAGGCTGTTTTCAGGGTGCTTCAACAAGCAGGATTTCTGCATGCTCCAGTACGCTGCCTGCTCGTTAGAAGCGGCTGCAACAAGACGAGACAGGTAGCGCGGAGAGGCGGCGCACGGTGCGTGCGTGCGGCTGCCTGCGGAGGGGCCCAGCACCTCGGTGCGCTGCTCTGCCCTCGGCTCGCCCGGCAGAGATGCTGGCTGCCCGTGAGCTGCGGCCCTCGCCTCCCCGCAGAACCGAGAGGTCGCTCAGAGTCGGCAGGGCTTGTTAGAAGCAAGGGAAGAGTTTCGAGGTAGGTTAAAGCTTGAGCCTTTTTGTTCGGACCTGTCTGTTTGCGTGCCGGTTTTTGGAAAAGTGCTCTGGCAGGTTTGTTTGTGCTGGTGCAACACGTTTGTGAGACCTGAGAAAACCTGCACAGCTCTCTCTACGGGTATCCTTAGAACGTGTTTAATCTGCTCTTGATACAAGCTCTGCAGGGCATGAGCTTTCTTTTTATTATGTGTCAAGCATAGTATCTAGAACAATGGTTTTTAGATCGATTTTCAGATTACTAGATACTTTTCTAATGGAAACAATAAATTGTGAAAGTGTGCTTGAAACATATGTCAGAGACAACAGTGCCTTTCCAGTACCAGGAGTGCGTACTTTATGTGACACCGTATTCTGCATGAAAGTTTGATTACTTCTGCAAGCTGCTGGAAAATACAGTGACTCTGCACTCCACCATCCAGTTTCCAAATAGTAATAGGGGAATCACAGTGCCCAGAGTAGAAAATGTCTGGTGTACTGTGAAAGAATGGGAAGCACTGCATTGACAGACCCAATCTCAGAACATGAAGCTTGAGTCCATCAATATTTACTAGCTCTGCTTCAGCAGTGCTCCTTGTGGCACCCAAATGGGATCAGAGGAGAGCCTTTTGACACGCTTGGACCTTCATCTGAAATTGCAGTAATTGTGCTCAGACCATGCGTATCTCTGCTGCTAAGCCTAACTGAACCCCATCTGCCTTATACAGAGCCAATTCAAGTGTCTTTTCTTTTGTGGCCTTAATTGCACTTGAATAATTTGGAGTCATCTATTTTTCTAAGCATTTCCAGGGGCCAGATAAATGCGCCCTGTGAGCCGAGTTTAGCGCATCGCGTTATCAGGCAGGACCGTGACTGGCAATCAGCGCTACATTTCAGGGGTCTCTGTTCCTCCTGCCCAGAACGCCTCCGCGGGGCGCCGACAAAGGCAGCGCAGCCCGGGCAGTCCCGCGGGGAAGGGCGGGCTGCGGGAGCGGCAGCCGCCGGGCCTTCCCCTCCCCTCCGGTGCGGGGCACTCCTGCGGAGGGGCCGCCGCGGGGCGGGAAGCGCAGACGGGTCCCGAGGGGAAAGGCCGCGATCCCGGCGCTGCCGGGGCGCGGGCAGCGGAGGCAGCAGGGGTCACCCGCCGGGGCGAGGCGGCGCCCGGCCCCCCCGCCCTCCGCAGCCGC